TGCTGCTGATCTGTTTCATGTTGCTGCTGATCTGTTTCATGTTGCTGTGTTCATTTGTACTCATGTGCTCACACAGACTCATGTTTGTGCTGCTGTTCGGCGTATTGTGTTAATTGTTTTTATGCTATTAGTGCTTAGGGTATTTTTAGCTGATGTTTTTCTTAGTTCATATCTTATTACTGTTTTCTTTTACATTTTATTGTTGGATGTAATTGGAACCCTGAGCACATAATTTTGTTCCACCACATGTACCACATGTGGTGCGAACGACAATAAACATAATACATTTTATTTGTATAGGGCTTTTTTAAATACTCAAAGATGCTTTACATGAGTAAAAATAAAATTAAAATAAAATCAACAATGCATTACATATAAAAACAGTAAAACATGAATGTTATACTCACCAACACCTTGTGCATATTGTCTTTTTCCAAAATTTGTGTATTCTGCTTCTTTTTTTGATTGTTTCATATGTATATTTTCTTTTTAATTAGAAAATGCTACTAGATGCCTCAAAATCCCCCCTTGGGATTAATAAAATATCTATCTATCTGTCTATCTATCTGTCTATCTATCTATCTATCTATCTATCTATCTATCTATCCGTCCGTCCGTCCGTCCGTCCGTCCGTCCGTCCGTCCGTCCGTCCGTCCGTCCGTCCGTCCGTCCGTCTGTCTACTTTAGAAAAGCTCTACCATAGAACACAAAAGTGCAGAAAGTGTAAACATAAACATATGTGCATTGATGGGATGATTAACTTTTGTCATATTATTGGGAATAAATAATTTTTGCAATAAAATGAGATGTAAATATTAACAATACTTGAACTGCAAATTCTCAGATTTCTTTACTTGTTTTACTACTATGCTGATAAGCCCTCTGAGGTTCCTAGTTGGTATTAGTATCATATCTAAAGACAGAGGAAGAAGGGTATTTATAACATGTTATTTACAAAAACACAATTTGTGGGTAATAAAAAAAGTCTAAAGTTTATTACTGTTTATTTTTATGTTTTTCAGCATCAGCCTCCAATGTTGTTCCAACAGTTTGTAACGGACGAGAGGTGGTGGACTCCACAACATCCTCCTTGTGAAAGATCAGCTGGGCTCTTCTGCCAAACGTTGTAAACAGAGTAATATAATCACTAGTCCTTAATCAGGTGTCTCAGATAAGGAAGAGGTCACCCAGATGATCATCCTGACTTTGTTGTTCTCAGAGTGCTGTGAGTACAATGTCCCAATTACGTTACTTTGTTCTTCGACTCGTAGCATTTTTAAACGAGATGCCAATAAAGTCAAATATAGCCCTTGTATTTAGAGATTCTACTTGCAACAATTGAGTAAATTATGGTAAATCTGTTCAGTGTAATATAATATACAAGACGTTTTTATTGTAGATTCTTGGTGAACCAGTTTGTGCTTTCTTGTAATTTTTGTAAATAAAAATGTGTTTTTATAAGTATTAAAATGACTTGGTTTCTGAGTGGGTTTTCTTTGCATGTCTTTCAGAGACAGATTCCAGAAGATTGTACAAAAATGGTATATGATTGATATTTGATGGTGTAAAATCCCAATAGCATGAACAAATCTGTCAGGTTTGCTTTGTGTCATTCCACCCAGGTCTCCTGTGGAAAACTGTTAAATATATACAACATGTTAAATCGATGTGTTTACATCCTACTAGGACAAATGACTTTTTCTTCCTCACCTCTCACTAATTAAAGCACCGTCCAGACCACCTGGAGCAGTTCTTGGTTCAGTGTATTGCTGAGCGAATACTCAGAAGGGTTAAACCCGCAATCGTGCAATTAATCTATACAGTGTAGTTTGACTATTTCAAAGATAGGATCATTTTGCTAACTATTTCAACCCAGTTGGGTTCTGAAGTCTATACGGTTCATTATTTAGGACCTTAAACCTACACCATCTGCTGAAAACAAACAAGCCTAAATTGGAAATAACCAGCGCAAATATCACCTGGTATGACATAAAATCCAGCAAAGCTATCCAAGAAAAACTCAGCAGGCAGGAGGGCCGGACAGCTGACACTGGTGCAGAACAACAGACCCAAACTGCAAGGGTGGTTCCATACTGCCATCTTGTGATGGTCATTTAGGCAATGCAGTCTACTGTTTGCTGTTTTCCAGCTTTCCGTGAGAATAATTTGGAAAAATACATGGGAGAAGAGCAGTGCAATGAGCAGAGATGAGCAGAGGTCTGCCATCAAGCTGACGTTTTATATGTGCCAGACTTAATACAGTCTGTTACCACATTTTGCTGCAAAAATACAAAGATCTACCTGTGAGGTTACAATCCTCACACGCTGAAATAATTATTTGCAAAAGACAATTACGTGTATGAGGATTTCTCCCAGGGTATACTGCAGAAAATAACTGTTTGTCTGATAGGCTCACTGGGAGTCATTCTAACATCAGTTTAAAGTATCTGTATCACATTTTAGGTAAAAACAAACAGCAAAAATATCACCCCTTTGATATCAAGTGCATTATGAAACAACCCCCTTCCACCCTTTTTTAATATTCGGTAATGTTTGGAATAATGTCTGATGTAAAACTGTAATAAAGCAAAAAGTAAAGCAAGCTGCAATATTTTAAAAAGCAAAGTATGAAACACAGAATTCTCACTTTTAATGAGCAAGGTTCACAGTGTGCAATTATAAAATGTGAACTAAAACTAATTACATGTCCATCTTCTGTGTATAAATCTGACAAGTATAGGTCGCATTTACGAGATACTATCTATGACTGAGGTGACTCAGACTTTTGAATTACCATCTCAAAATTAAAACTTAGCATCGCATGATTGTGATAATATATCAAAACTGACAATTCATAATTGACTTAGTGCCTCGTTATTATTAATCAGAATATCCGAATTACGCATTTTGAAATGATAGGATTATCTCTTATAATTCCTGAGTGTTGCTTTATGAGATAACGTAAGTAATAAATATAAAATTGCTTGTTTTTTTGGCTGCACCCTTCTTCAGGAGTAGCCACAGCAAGTAAACACAAAGACTTGGCATAGGTTTTTACACTGAATGCCCATTCTGGCGCAACCACTGAGCTACTGTGTGTAGGCCTCTGTGTGGAGCAGCTGGGGGGGTTAAGGACCTAAAGAGGTGTAAATGAGGGTGGAGGCAAGTGTGGGTGCTTCGCCTGTCCCACCCACATTTTTGATGTAACAGTCAAGGGGATTCAACCTGGCGGTCTCTCAATCACAGGAGAATTTATATCAATATTATGAGATAGCATAAGTCATACTTTTGAGACAGTATAGAGTATTTCATAATAATAACGTTAATCTTGCTTTCTTTTTTCTGAGTGGTAGAAATGGGCTTCCATAAAAAGTACATTGCTTGTTTAAACAATTTGTTTTTATAATTTGAAATGAAATTGAAGGAGAAATAAAGTGTGAAAACATTTTTTTTTCATGTTTTAGTGTCTTTAGAGATGGGATATATGACTCTTTGAAGGGAACTAGAATTTGATGATATACCATATTTTCCGCTGTACACGTCGCACCGCCGTATACGACGCATCACTCCAGTTATGTCTAATGAAGTGGAAAAAACATAAATAAGTCGCTTCGCCGTATAAGTCGCATCTATTATGCATCACCGCTGACGCGTTGCGTTTGTTACGCATCACTGCTGACAACCTGGAAATGTGGGCCGGTGTGTCAAAAATCGATTGGCTGCCAAATGACGGCCATGGGAGCGTGCACGGGATGACTTTAACAAAAAATTAACAATATTAACATTTAAAATTATTTGTTTGCTCGAAATTATAGCAAAGGTGTGTCTCATTTTAACGTTTCCTTAAGAAATGCACTTTAATAGTCAAATCAGCTGTATTTCAAAAGTATTCACTGCCTCGGTGCTCCGAGAGCACGCAGAGGGAGGAAATCAGGAAGGAGGAACGCTGTGCATTTTTTCAAAATTTAACAAGATAAGCACCTAAAACAATTATTTGTTTGCTCATCGTTATAGCAAAGGTGTGTCTCAGTTCAACTTTTGCTTAATAAATGCACTTCAGTGGTCAAATTAGCTGCATTTTGCCAGGGCGGCACAGTGAAATGAAGCTGATTTGACATTGTTCCAGACATGATCCCAGAGCTGGACAAAGGTGGCAGGTTATGGCAAGCCGATTGTGTCATTAATAGCCACGTTTACCTATTACATGACACAGTGGCATGCCATACATCTCAAGTGCCATCTAGCGGCTGAAAATGATAGTGTTCAATATTTTACATGTCAGAATGAATGAAAACTGTCATATCTCAGTCAAAAATTGGTTTATAAATATTGGGGAGAAAAAATAAATAAATAAGTCTCTTCGGCATATAAGTCGCAGGGCATGCAAATTAGGCAAAAAGTTGCGACTTATAGGCTGGAAAATACGGTATTTGCTTCATAGAACCGTTCAATTTTGAAGAACAGTGTTGTCATCATGTACAATCAGTGGTAGGCACAGCTAACCCAAAAGTTATCTTTACTAACCCATATTCCACTAGCTAAAAAATTAGCTTCTCTAAGGCTAAATCGCCTAACAGGTAAAAAAAAAAATCTAATTAGCTGAAGCTAACGCTGAACAGCTAACCCCTTAGTTGACTGTCAGTCTGTATCGTGCTGTAACAGTTGCAGCAATTGCCAGATATAAAGACTATTGGGAAAGAAGACTAAGACTTAGAATGAATTTATAGTGTTTATTTACAAGTGACAAATGATGCAATAAGCCAGGGAGGAGATTGGAACCCTGACAAGCAAAGAGGTGATTAGGAATCTTGTAGTCCAGGGTGATAAGGTTATTACTGATTTTCCTTATGATGGAGGTCGGGGGCAGACGTGGGGAGGGCTGACCCAAATGGTTCCAGACAAAGGAGATGTATACGTCTGAACAATGGCATGGCAGGCGTTAGGCAAGTGGTAGGAAGGCATGGAGGCAGCTGAGGAGGCACAGAGAAGGATTCAGAAAACAGGAGAACATCATGGGCAACTCACTGGAGGCATGGAGAGAAATATAAATAATAATTGATTTTAGACATGAGTAGAAAGCTAGGAAAAAAACTACTGTTGGCAGGTAATGCTCCAGCACTGGCTGAATGTCTTCTGCAGCCTTTTATGTTCCTCATGCTCATCAAGTTGATGATCCACAGGTGTCGCTATGGGTGCAGGAGCTGTCAGAGCAAAACTCTCGCACATGCATCTTTATCTCCTTCCAGTGGACGCTGCGTCGCCCAATCACGTCTTAAAATGCATGTATATATATATATATATATATATACATATATATTTGTATATAGTATTATGTATTAATATTATTATCTTATTATGTATGTACTGTAATGTGGACAGTTGCTGAAAAAGTGGGCAGCTGCTGTGGTCCTTACCATCAAGCTGCGGACTGGACCTGCTGACAGGATCTGCTAAGCTGCTAACAGAACAGAACCATGATGTTGAAAGAACCTCACTGCTAACCAAATCACACTGAAGATGTTTTTCTTTTTCACCTTTGGCGCCTTGTGTTTTAGTATTTTAGCAGCATTTTTTTATATGTTTTTCTTAGTATGTTAATTCTTTTTATTCCTGATGCTGTAATTATATCTTTTTAAAAAAAAAATGTATTTTTTATTTTGCACATGACAAATAAATCTAACCTTAAGGTTAAATAAAATAAAACGTTCCCGTATGCGGTCGCTAGGTGGCGCCGGCGGTCCAGCTGTCAGCTTCACTTCCTGGACTCCAGCAGAAGAAAACGTACAGCAAAGTTCCGCCTCATCCTTCAGATTAAGGTGAATGTATGAACTCATCACGAACCTTTGGCCCACGCCATAGGGAAGAGTTTGGAATAGACTCGTCCCTGACAACTGCTGCGGTTGTTGCTGACAACATCGTTCTTTGCTAAAGGTAAGTTTCCAGCTTTAAAGAGGAGATCCAGGTCGTTTTCAGTTTATTTTTCTAGAAGCTCCGTAGCTGTCGTTCCCAGAAAACACTCCTTAAAATCTCCTGTTTTTATTATTCAGCCTAAATAATCATTACTTGTTGCGACGGCAGGTTTTTAACCATGTGGTCAGAATGTAAATATATAAGATTTCATGTCATTACCTCAGCATGACTGAGCCACAGGGCGAGTTGAGACATGTCTGAACACTTCCGGTGTCCGGTTAATGAACATGGCGTCTGTGCAGGACGTTTACCAGTCATGGCCCCTAAGAGAAGAGCTGCTTCTGCTGCTAAAGCAGGCGGAAAGAAGACGAAGGAGGAGCTGGAGACACAGCCCAAGGATGCCTTCACCTCAGCTAAAGAGGCCCTTCTGGCTGCAGGGCCACAGCTGAAAAGCAAAAAGAAGGTGGATGAGCACTGCCCGCTGTCCTCATCTGGAGAGGTGAATCACTACAATCCACAGGGATTTTAATGCACAAATTAAAGACAATTTGTAACAAGTTACGTTTTGTCTCCCAACAGGTTTACGAGGATTATGACTGCATGCTCAACCAGACAAACATAGGACATAACAACAACAAGTTTTATGTAATCCAAATTATTAAAGCAAACAACAAATACTATTCATGGAACCGATGGGGCAGAGTGGTAAGTTTACCATAAATTCCCACTGTGCTGTATTGATGCCAAACTTTTTTTTATCCGTTCTGAGTGACATTAGTTTTTAAAAAAAGTTTTTTTATTGCGGGGATCCGTACCCAGAAGACCTGCGATAAGTGAGAAAACGCAAATATGACTGAATATTTAGGAATAAAAAAATAACTGCATCTGAAATATCTGGATTGATCTCTTTGGGTCAAGGGTGAGAGGAGTTCAAGTTTCTCAGGGTTTTGTTCTGGAGTGAGGGAAGAATGGAGCGTGAGATTGACACAGATGGATTGGTGCAGCATCTGCAGTATTGTGGACTATGTGCCGGTCTGTTGTGGTGAAGAGAGAGCTGAGCTGTAAGGCAAAGCTCTATGTTTACTGGTCGGTCTATGGTCCTACCCTCACCTATGGGCATGAGCTCTGGGTAGTGACCGAAAGAATGAGATTGTGGATACAGGTGGTTGAAATGAGTTTCCTCCTCAGGGTAGCTTGACTCTCCCTTAGAGATAGGGTGAGAAGTTCAGTTATCCGGGAGAGACTCGGAGTAGAATTTCTGCTCCTCCACATCGAGAGGAGCCAGTTCAGGTGGTTCAGGTATCTGGTAAGGATGCTCCGGGCATGTCCGACTGGGAGGAGACCCTGGGGAAGACTGGACACGCTAAAGAGACTACGTCTCTCGGATGGCCTGGGAACGCCTTGGGGTCCTCCCAGAAGAGCTGGAAGAGGTGGCTGTGGAAAGATGTCTGGGCCTCCTTGCTGAAGCTGTTGGCCCCGTGACCCGACTTTAGAATAAGCGGAAGATGATGGATGGATGGAATATCTGTTGTTAGAGGCAAACCTGAGTTCAAATAAAAAAAATATAAAATAAACTAAAGAAGTTATCCAAGTAAAAGTCTGAGGTGTGCAATGTTAGAAATTTTCCTCTCAAAAGTTACATCTGTTCATCATCATATATACAATCAATCAAGAAAATTAGGACATGACATAATAGTTAATATGTCATTGTCGTGTCCGAGCTCATAAAGCTGTGACTTGTTTTCTTATTTTTAATTGCTCTTCTCTGTTATCCAATTCAGGGTGAAGCGGGGCAGCACAAACTGAATGGCGTCACTGCGCTTGAGATGGCCATCAAGGACTTTGAGAAAAAGTTTAAAGACAAGACAAAGAACAACTGGCAGGACCGGACCAACTTTGTCTGCCACCCGGGGAAGTACACGCTGATTGAGGTGGATGGAGAGCAGGATGCTGAGGTCAAGGTAACGTCAAAGTGCATCAGTTTGGCACATGACAAACTGTACAGTAGCCACAGTTTCAAATATTTCACTTACAGTAGTCTCTCGTTTATTGCTGGGATCCGTACCCAGAATACCTGCGCTAAGTGAAAAACCGCAAATATTACTGTATATTTAGGAGTATTACCGTATTTTTTGCCATAAATGTTGCACCACCCTATAAGATGCATCAGTCCAAATATGTTTAATAAAGTGGAACAATCCATAAATATGTTGCATCTATTACGCGACACCGCTGACAACTCGGAAATGTGGGCCGGTGTTGTGCCAAAAATCGATTGGCTGCCAAATGGAGGAGCGTGCATGGGAGGACTTTAACAAGATTAACACTTAAAGGCAATTATTTGTTTGCTCGAAATTATAGCAAAAGTGTGTCACAGACTAACTTTTCCTTAAAAAATGCACTTTGACAGTCAAATCCGCTGCATTTTCAAAAGTCAATACGCGGAACCATGAATGCTCAGAGGGCGACTCACGCATTTCTTCGATATTTAACATGCTAACCACCTAAAAACAATTATTTGTTAGCTTGACTTTATAGTAAAGGTGTGTCTCAGTTTAACTTTTACTTAATAAATAAACTTTGACGGTCAAATCAGCTGCATTTCGCCGGGGAGGTGCAGCAACATGAAGCTGATTTGACGGTTGCGCCAGGCAGACGACGGTGGGAGACTTTGGCAAGCCGACTGTCATTAATAGCCACTTTTACCTATTACATGATACAATGGCTAGCCATACTGCTTGACTGCCATCTAGCGGCTGAAAATGGTAGTGTTCAATATTTTCAGTCAGAATGAAAGAAAACAGTCATATCTCAGCCACAAATTGGTTTATAAATATTGGGAAAAGTCCATAAATATGTTGCCTCGACATATAAATCGCAGGGTATGCAAATTATGCACAAAAACTGCAACTTATAGGGGG